AGGGGCCTGGGTGGTCTCCCTCCTGACAGCAGAGCGGTGGGTGCTACGCAGATACTCACGGAGGGGCCGGGGGGACCAACTCGGCCAGCAGCACCAGGGAAACCAGTAGCACCCTGGTGGGAGAGAAGGGAGGACAGGACGGTCAGAAAACGGACAGCCACTCGCCTGGCCCGGCCCCTCCTGCTGCCGGGGGCCGACGGGCTCTCAGGAGCGGTGGGAGGTACTCACAGGGGGACCAGCACTGCCGCGAGCACCTTTGGGTCCAGGAGCACCAACGTTACCCTGCGGGAGAGCACAGAGGACAGGTTCAGGCCGGCCCAGGCTCGGCTCTTTGCAGTCGAGGGTACGGAGGCGGGCGTACTCACAATGGGGCCGGGAGGTCCAGCGGGGCCAGCGGGGCCGGGAGGACCAGCATCGCCTTTAGCACCAGCGTCACCGGGTTCGCCTTTAGCACCAGGTTGGCCATCAGCACCCTGGGGCGGGAGGAGGGAGGGTGGTGAGTGATGCTGAGGGTGGGCACCTCCATCCTCACTCAGTCACTCCAGGCCCCACTGCCCCGTGTGTGACGGAACATGGAGAGGCCGTGGTACTCACAGGGGGGCCAGCGAAGCCAGCAGGGCCGGGGGGACCAGGCTCACCACGGTCTCCCTGGAAGAGAAGGAGGTCAATGGGGGGACGCCTAGACTTCCGGCGAGGAGGGGAGAGGGGAAGCTGGGAGGGAGGAGGGACAGGAAGGAGCCAGCAGAGAAGGGCTGAGCACTCATTTAACAGGGTCTTCTGTACTTACTTGGGCGCCTCGGGCTCCGGTGGGACCAGCAGGGCCACTGGGACCAGATTCACCCTGATAAGGAGGGACGAGAGGCTCTGGGTGAGAGGGCCACCCCGGACACTCCAGGCCAGTGACCCCCGAGAGCCTCCCCTCCCTTCTGGTCCCTCCGGCTTCCTGGGTCACGAGCTGGGAGTGGCAGGACCTGTGTCCCCCACATCCAAGCTGGCTGGAGAAGCTGTGAGTTGGGGAAGAAAGTGGGAAAGGCGGCCACTCACCTTGTCACCAGGGGCACCAGCGGGGCCAGGAGGACCAATGGGGCCGGTCAGACCACGGGGACCATCTTTGCCAGGGGTACCGTCAGCACCTTTGGGACCGGCATCACCCTAAAGAGAGGGAAAAGCCTGAGACTTCCAGTGTGGGGCTGGGAGGTGACCTGCAGGGTTCTGCTTGTGTCTGGAACCCCCGGCAAGGCCCTGCTCACTGTGGCTGTGTCAGGGTGCAGGAGCCTAGGGATCTGGGCAGCATCTAGGCCGAGAGGCCCTGACTTGTGTAGGAGGATGAATAAGACCATCCTCCATCAAGGGGATGCCCCACATCTCATCACTATGGCAACTCCCATGGCCAAGGGCCTGGACCACAGGCACAGATTTGCCAGTGATGGGCCAGAGGGGAAGAAAGAAGGGTGAAGGAGAGGAGAGAAAGACTTCTGCAAGACGGTGAGGGACCCAAAGCAAAAGACGGAGGGCCCAGGAGAGGGAAGTGTCACTCACTCTGTCACCCTTAGGACCTGGAAGACCAGCTGCGCCACGTTCACCAGGCATTCCCTGAAGGCCAGGGGCACCCTGGCTACCGGGAGCTCCGGGGTTACCAGCATCACCCTGTGTGACAACCAAGGAGGCGGCAGTGAGGCCCGGGGTCCAGAAGTGGGCGCAGGCCCTGGGCTGTCGGGTCCGCTCCCAAGGCCGAGGACACAGCCAAGACTTCAGGCTGCACATGGCGCCTGTCTGGCTCTGACCCCCGCAGCCCCACAGCCTTCAGTCCTCCCTGTCCAGGGACGGGCGGGACATGTCACCTTGGCACCGTCGTTGCCAGGAGCACCGTTGGATCCGCGGGGACCGGCAGGACCAGGGGGACCTTGCACACCGCGCTCGCCAGGGAAGCCTCTCTCGCCCTAGGAGGGAAAGACAGGCTCGTGACGGCCGCGACAGAAACGAGGAGAGAAGGCAACGCCAGGGCATCAAGAGCGGAGCGAGGAGAGAAGGGACCCACTTACTCTTGCTCCAGAGGGGCCTGGGGCACCGAGGTCACCGGGAGGGCCCTGGGGGGAGACGAGAGAGCAACAGTGAGCAAAAGCTGTGGGGTCCTTCGCAGGAGGGAGAACTCCTGTCCCTCCTCCTGGGGCCTGGCCCTCCTCAGCCTGGAACTGAGATTGTACCTGACAGGGCCCCTCTACTCCTCCCGCTCAGTCAAATGCCTCCCTCTTCCCCATACTTGCAACAAGAACGCTTCAGGGAAAGCCAGAGTATCCTGGCAGCTTATAAAAGCAGCAGCCTAGTCTAGCACCCATGCAGATCATATCTACAGCTTCCTGTTTCCCTCCACGTAGCTCCCGTCATCACAGGAAGTCCTTCCTGACGTCTCCCCTCAATCGCCCGGCTGCAGCCGTCTGACTAAGGGCAGTGGCTTGTCCCACTGGGTTTCCCGCCTTGCCCACACCCCTGGGCACCGCTTCCTCTTACCTGTTCACCAGTTTTGCCTGCTTCACCGGGAGGACCAGCGGGGCCAGGGAGACCCTGCAGGTGGAAAGTGGTGGAGAGAGGAAGGGATCAGAATGTGGAGGGGAACAGAAGCCACCCCGTCCCTCTCCGCACAGCCTGGCAGCCAGGAGGCCTCACCTGGAACCCGGGGGAGCCGGCAGGGCCTTGTTCTCCTCTTTCTCCAGCGGGACCCTGTCAAGGGGAGAATGTGAGGTCGTGGGCAGTCTGGGGAGAGGAGGGCAGGGCGCTCCCCGTGAGGGACACTTACAGCAGGGCCGGGGGCTCCCTGGGCTCCAGCTTCGCCATCTTTGCCAGGGGCACCCTGTGGGCAGAAAGGAAAGAGCTCAGTGTGGTGGGGCCGAGGGCAGGGGTCACAGCGGGACACAGCAGATGCCCCAGGGGCTTCTAATGGCATCGGAGTGGGGGGCAGGAGGGAGACACTTACAACAGAGCCAGGGGGTCCGGGCACGCCCCGTTCTCCAGCTTTACCGGGCTCTCCCTGTGCAGAAAGAGGGTCAGAGTTGAGGGCCGAGGGGAAACCTGGATTCTTCCCATCTACTTTGTAGGGTGCAGGGATGATGGAATCTTCGTTAAGGACTTTTTGCCCCAGAAAGACCGCAGGCTGTCTGGAGGCTTGTGGTTTTTGTGGTTGGTTCCCCGGCCTCCCTGAAAACCTCATGCCCAGCAGCCTGAACTACAAAGGACTTTCGTCTCCTCCTCTTGAATCTCAGAGAACCCACCAAATTTGAGAGTGACTCCCACCTATCCGTGGGTGGGAGGGGAGGGCCACCACCACCAGTACTAATTTCCAGGGACACAGAGACTACCACAGAGCCGGGAGAAGCCTTTCATTTGACAGACTAAGGCCCAGAAAGGGGCGGTGAGCAGCCCGAGGTCACACAGCAAGTTCACAGAGCTGGGACAGAGCCCAGTACTCCGGCCTCAGGGGTGTCCTGTGCCCAGCTCCAAGTCACCCCCCACTGAATACTCACAGCAGCACCTTTAGGTCCAGGAAATCCCATCACGCCAGCCTGACCACGGGCACCGGGGGGGCCGGGGGGCCCAGGACGGCCATCTTGACCAGCGGGACCCTGGGGATGGGAGGCACAGAGGCAGTGGTGAGGACAGAGGGTGGGCACACAGGAGGGAAAGAGGGGGCCACGGGGAACCATACTTACAGGGGGGCCAGATTTGCCATCAGGACCTGGGCTGCCAGGGCTTCCAGTGAGACCCTGGGAGAGGCAGAGGCAGGTGTGAGCGCTGGGGTCCCAGAATGTCTCGTCCCAGACCCCGCACAGGTCACGCAGGGTCCGGGCCGAGTCTCACCTTGGCACCAGGCAGGCCAGCTTCACCAGGGCGTCCAGCTTCACCGGGGGAGCCTTTGGGGCCAGCAGGGCCGGGAGCACCACGTTCACCAGCGGGTCCCTGGTTGGGGGAAGTCACAGGAAGTCAGGGATCGGGGGTGGGCGATGGAGCACAGGTGCATATAGAGCTGGTGGTGCTCATGGCTGGGCAGTGGGCACTGCGAGGGGTGGGCTACAGCACCAGCAGAAGGGACACCCCGGTGCCAACCTCTGCCTCAGAGAGCTCACCTTGGGACCAGCCACACCGTCTGCACCAGGGAAGCCACGGCTGCCAGGTCCACCCTGTGGGAGGAGAGGAGGCCGGTGAGCTCAGGGACACCAGGCCGGGACACCAGGTAGGCACTGGGGGTCCAAAGGAGAAGAGGGTGGGGGACATACACGCTCGCCAGGGGGGCCGGGCAGGCCAGCAGGTCCAGGTTCACCTCGGGCTCCACGCTTTCCTTCTTCCCCAGCAGGGCCAGGGGGACCTTGAACACCAACGGGGCCCTGGGGCAGGCAGAAGAGTGGGTAGGCTTGGTGAGCTTTCAGCCTCGGGCAGACAAGGGGCTCCCCTTCTTCCCCGAGCCTCCCTTCCTTCAGGGGCTCCAGGGCAGGAGGGGTGTCAGAGACTCACAGGTTCTCCTTTGGCACCAGTGTCTCCTTTGTTTCCGGGAGCGCCAGGTTCACCCTGTGTCGGGGGAGAAAGAGAGGGAAGGTGATCTGAGAGTTGTGGTGCACACTTGGCCTGCATCTTCACTCCCTCCAGATGGGGGCGCAAGAGAGCCAGCACACGGGGTGGGGCAGAAGGGAGAGGTCTGTACTCACGCTGTTACCCTTGGGACCGGGAGCGCCGCTGGGGCCCTGGGGTCCAGAGGGGCCTCGGGCACCGGGGAAGCCAGGAGCGCCAGCAATGCCAGGAGCGCCCTGTGGGAGGAGGAGCAGACGGGTGAGGGAGGGCGGAGGGCTGAGGGCCCAGGGCAGGTGGGAGGAGGGCACAGGTCGGGCAAGGCTGGGCAGGAGACTCACATTGGCACCTTTAGCACCAGGTTGTCCGTCAGCACCAGGGTTTCCCTGCGGCACAGAAGACAGTGAGTGATAGGCGAGGACTGTGGGCTTGGAAAGCAGCACAGGGGACACCGGGCGGCGGGGGCACTTACAGCAGGACCAGCAGCACCAGCAGGGCCAGGGGGGCCAGGCTCACCACGAGCACCCTGGGGACCTTCAGAGCCTCGGGCTCCTTGGGGACCAGATTCACCCTGGATCAGAGGAAAGGACACATCAGAAACACCACCCTGCAGGGTTGGGGGAGAGAGACAGGCGCAGGAAAACAGGAATGGGGCGTCTAAGTCAGGATGCTGGTGTTGGGGGATGAGCTTCTCTCGGGCCACTCTGTCCCTCTGGGTTGGGGAGCAGGGAGAAGCGGCCTGTGGCCTGTGACAGTCTCGTGGGAGGAGGACAGGGCCTTTACCTTAGCACCAACAGCACCGGGGAAGCCAGGAGGACCAGCGGGGCCGGTGGGACCCTGTGAATGAGACAGACTTCAGCAAGCAGGACGGTGGAGGCAGCAAGGCACGGCCCAGGATGGGAGAGCGCCTGGGTTTCCGTCCCCGCTCCCAGGCCCTGGGGACAGAACCACACTCACAGGGGGGCCCGCAGCACCAGTAGCACCATCATTTCCGCGAGCACCCTGTAGAGGAGGGAGGCCCCATTAGGTTTCCAGAGTACTGGCTGGTCCCTGTGGCTCTTGGGATCCCCCAAGGGGCCAGAGATACTTACAGCAGGGCCAGGGGCTCCAGGGCGGCCTCTCTCACCGGGCAGACCACGGGGGCCCTGACAAGCAAACCAAGAGATGCCTGGTGAAACGGGAGACTCTCACGTGCCTCCACGCCTCCGTCCTGTCCCCGCACCCCACTCCCCCTGCTAGGAAGCAGCGCGCTCACCATCTGGCCCGGAGCTCCATTCTCACCGGGGCTGCCGGGCTCCCCCTGCAGGACAGAGTGAGGCAGAGTGAGGGCTTCGTGTGTCTTCCGCACTGCGGAAGGCGGGGTCTGGGACACTCAGCGGGTGCTTACCTTGGGACCAGCAGGACCAGCATCTCCCTTGGCGCCATCCAGACCACTGAAACCCTGGCAGGGGAGAGAGGGACAAAGTGAGACCCCGTGGAGGGCGCAGGCCGCTGTGTCACCACCCAGGGCTGAGAGGGAGCCCAGGAGATGGTCCTTGCTGTTCCCAGGTGTCTGAGCTACACTGACCCCCAACTGGCCCAGACCATCACTGTTTATTAGGGCTTTCCCCACAGAAGGACAGTACTTTCAGGTGTCTGCTCTGGGTCCCCTGGGACTTCTGTAGCCCCCCCCCACACACACACAACAAAGCACATCAGGACCTTTTAGGGGTAGGGGTTGTGATGGTGGGAGGCCAGGACTTTGGGGACCTAGAGGATTCAAAGTTGGACTTACCCTGTGTCCCTTCATTCCAGGAAGGCCAGCTGTTCCGGGCAATCCCCGAGCACCCTGGGGAGCAAGGCAGAGGAGGACAGGGAAGGCCGTTAGAAGGCAGTGCAAGCTCATAGCTCCTGGCTGAGGCCCCAGGTTGCTGAAGCCTGGTTCCAGCCTCCTGCCTGCTCACCTGAGGCCCAGGAGGTCCACGCTCGCCAGGACGACCAGGCTTGCCAGCTTCTCCCTAGGGGAAGAGAAAAGGCCATGACACCCTTGTCCCTGGGCTGGGGACAGGGGCAAGGTCTCAGTCCTCTTTGGATTGTTGAAAGTCAGCGTTAGGGGCTCAGGATCTTACACTGAACCAGGAGCTGTTTAAATCTCCCATGAATTTCTTTTTGGCTGAAATCTGAGTCCCTCCAAAGAAATTTCTGCAGCTTTCTGTCACCATCATTTTAATCTCCCACCTATACACCACAGCACCTCAAGCTGAGGTCACCTACTCTGCAGGGTGGAGCTGGGGATTGCCTCACCCCTGCTTGGGAAATGGAAAAACATCCTACTAGTAAAAATCAGTGGTCAAGGACAGCCGGAGGATTTGTCCTACTTCCCCTGGGAATCAGAAGCTAAGGTGGCGGGGGCATCACAGTGTAGATAAAAGGACCCAACCCGCCAAGGCCAGGGCTCAGCTGGCACCTTCCCACAGGGGTTACTTACATCATCACCGTTCTTGCCAGGAGGGCCAGGAGGACCTCGGGGACCCATGGGACCCTAGAGGAGACAGGAGGAGGGGCAGTGAGAGGCTGCGGGCTGAGGAAGAGAGAAGGGAAAGGAGCAGGAGGTGAGGAGTCCCCAGGTGGGGTTTTCTGTGTCTGCATAGAGACCACTTACCGAAGCTCCAGGCTCGCCGGGCTCACCGGGGGGGCCTTGGAAACCTTGGGGACCCTGGAGAACAAGGAGAGAGGGCCGAGTCAGAGGGGCAGGCCTCATCTCACCAAGAGATCTCTGAACACCTTCCTGAGCTCACCTCACCTTCCCTCCCACAGTCCCAAGCCCCAGGGCCTATGTGGCCACCTCCCAGGTACTCACAGGTGAGCCAGGAGGGCCAGGGAGACCACGAGGACCTGAGGGACCCTGCAGAAAGAAAGAAGGGACGCCGTGATACACGTGGGAGACCACACCGTGGGGGCAGTCTTGCTACTGCCCAGTGCTTCCGGTTGGGACCGCAGCCGTCATGTGCCCTTTCTAGACTCCAGGGTCCAAAGGCGGCTGGTACCTCCGCAGCCACTGAGGCCACCCTGCATGCCCAACCTCTTCCGTCATCTCAGTTTCCCCGGTGGCTCACCATGGGGCCAGGCACGGCAGCTCCAACTGATTTCTCATCGTAACCATAAGACATCTGGGGGGCAAAGTTCTAGAAGAGACAAGAGAAAAGTGGGTGAGAAAAATCAGGGCCAGGCCAGTCCCGAGGACAGGCAGAGGACATCACCAACAAGGGGACGACTGACATCATGTGCCTCTGAAGGGGATGTGCTGGGACAGATGAAAACAATTGTGAAATACGTCTGACCAAAAGCATCACCCGAATCTAATTACTCAGACAATCCCCCACCGAGGGGCAAAACAACTGGCCTCTGTGGAGAAACTGGACACTTCAGAGACTTCCTGCGTCAGGAAAGGCAGAGAGAGTCTCAGAAATAGTCTACATTCGTGGGAACTAAAGAGACAGGACTATTAAATGCAACTCTGGATCCTGGATTGGGAAATCAAAAACGCTGGAAGGATATTATTGGGACAGTGGTGAAAGGTGAAAGTGGACGGCATATCAGATAACAGTTTTAGTCCAATTGTTAGCCACTTATGGCTCAGGGAAAACATACTGTGTACATAAGACAGAGACCCAGAGAGCAGATGCAACCAACTGCAAAGGGTATGTGGAAGGTCTTTACATCATTCTCACAACTTTTCTGTAAGTCTGAGATTATTTAAAAATAGTTATCTTGTCTGATCCCCTCCAAATAAAAGGAAAGAAAGAAAACAGAAGAAACAGAAAACCAAAGCTAAACCGGGAGAAGAACAGTCACACACACAGGCCTCCCCACACTCTACTTACTCCACCAAGGCCAGGGGGGCCGGGGGGTCCAGGAGGGCCAGGGGGCCCAGGAAGTCCGGGCTGTCCAGGGATGCCATCTCGTCCAGGGGGGCCGGCGGGTCCCTGCAGGGGCAGAGGGCGAGGTCGCGGTGAGCGCAGGCCAGAGCCCTGCCCACCCCAGCTCGGGACAGCAGGATGTTGCTTACCCTAGGGCCTCGGGGGCCAGTGTCTCCCTTGGGTCCCTATAGGGTTGGGTGAGAAGAAACAGGACACTGGTCAGAGAAGGGAGGACAGAGAAGTCGTGCATGAGATGCTACAATCAGGGCAGAGCGTTACCTCGACTCCGGAGTCTCCCACGTTCGGATCTGATTCTGGGGGGAGAGGAGGCGCAGTGAGAGGCGGGTTTGCCAACGGTGCCGAGTGGCCCTGACTCCCCTAGGCCTCCAGCCCGGCTCTGAAGCCTACCTGGGCCATCGGGGCATCTGGGACAGCACTCGCCGGCTGGGATTTGGGCGCCGGGACAGTTGGAAGAGTCCTCACAGGTCATCTCGTCGCACAGTGCCGTGCCATTGGCGCAGATGCAGAGTTGGCAGGGGTCGGGTTTCCACGTGTCTCCACTGGCGATCCTGCGGCCATCGTGGACGCACTCAATGCCTGGGACTGGGAGAGGGGGACGAGACGGGGGTTGGGGGCGCTGTCGGCAGAGCCAAAGACAAGCATCCCTGGGCGCCCCCAGCGTCTAACACTTAGATCGTACATTTTCAACTCCGCCCCGTTTTTCTTCTGTCCTCCCAATCTTTAAAAGCTTATCGGCTCCCCATCAGCGCCAGTGACAGCCCGCCCCCCCCCCCCCCCCC